GATAAATCTTACCTGAAGATGATAATGTTGAAAGAATATCTTGAAAAAATAAATTAAATTTATCCAAATTATTAGATTGTTTTAATTTTTGTATTATTTGAAATTCATTTAAAATGTGTTGTTTATATGAACTATTTTTTGATATTTTCATCACATATTTTTTTAAATTTTCTGTTTGATGTTCACATTTAATTTGTTTTAATAAATAGACTTTTGATGTAAAACCATAACCTAATCTTTTTGTTATCATATATTCATTACACAGTAAATTATCATAAGGATCTATATCCAAATGTGTATATTCATAAAAATCACAATTCATGGTTAAAAATCTAACGAACACTTTCCATGTGTCTTTATTAATACATAAATTTCTTGAATGTTTAATTGTTTTTCTTGACTTATCACCAATAAATGATGTTTCAGATAAATTACTAAACAGTTTCAATTGTTCACTTTCATAATATTTATAGCAATAGTTATTATCTTTGTTTTCAATATAAAAAAATTTTATCTCTTTATAATTACATAAAAAGCCATATATCTTTCGACGTTTTTGTACATCTAATAGAACTTTCAAATATTGTAATACTTGTCCAATTGCACTTGTATCTGTTAAAGAAACGTTTGGTGTCTTCAAATCACCAAGAAAAACAACGAAATCTTCTAAAAAATGATGTTGTTCATTCATGTTGATATTTACATTTTTATATATAAATGTACATGCAGGACGAAACTGCTCCTGTAAATAACCTTGAGAAGATGTACTTAAATATTTCAATATTGTATTACAATTAATTTCTTTTAATAATTTAACCATCATTTTATTAAACGCTTGCTGAATAAATATTTCATTTAATTGAGAATTCGATGAACATTCATGTAAATAACATTGAATATGTGTTAATATATTATCATTTAAATCATTATCATTTTTAAATAAATCAATAGCACTAAAAGAATATAGATGACCACTAACGTAGTACTTGTAGAAATCATCATGAAACCATAGTAAAATACCAGATCTTTTAATTGATGATGAACCAAATTCTAGTTCTAATTTATATTGTTGTATCTCTTGTTGTGCATTTTTTTTGTGAAGTTGTAATTGTTGAATTAACTTTTGTTTTTCGATTTCAAATTTTGTTTCTTCAATTATTTTGTGTTTTTCAATTTCACGTTTTGTTTTTTCACTTATTTTATGTTTTTCAATTTCAAATTTTGTTTCTTCACTTATTCTGTGTTCTTCTAATTGGAGTTGGAGTTCGAGTTTTTTTAAAATTAATTGCTGTTGAAATTTATCTCGAACTTCGTTGTTATCATCATGTGTATCCATAATTATTTGTTTTCTTTTTCTTTTTTGTTTTGTTTTATCTATAAAAGAGAAAAATAAACTTTTGTAAACATCATTCAAGAGAACGATCAATCGAATGATTTTAGTCGTATAAGATTGAATGTAGATTACTAGAATTATATTTAGGTTAGTTTTATATAGGATTTAGACGTGATGATGTTTATTCATGATTCTTGTACTCACGAGAGAACTACTCCAATTGATTCCAAGCAGTTATATATATATCACTTTTTTGGATGAATAATTATATGAGCACTTTATATTGAAGAAAACATCAAGTATATATACATAGGAGAGAGACAATAGACAGACTGGAGAAGAAGTTGAGAAGCTTCTTCCGGCTGTTTAGATAATGAACAATAGAAAGAATGCAGACAATAGTTCTTACTCAACGAAGACGTCAATTAGGAAAAGTAAGTTAGACGAAAAAGAACATACATGTATAATAGTTGAATAAAAAAGAAGAGAACTGAAGCACTATGTAACACAAGCTTTTGCCTTCATATTTTGACTATAGGTAGAGCTCAATGAGCGTAAGAAAATCCTTGAAGCGTTCATGTTTATGATCTGCTGGTGCAAAATTATAATCATTTTATTGAATTTTCGACCTACGGCATCGTATCCACAGCAAAGTCAAATGAAAGTATTTCGATCTGATATTTCGTCCATAGACGACTCTAATTATTTCTAATATGTATCAAAATTTTTAACGAAAACAGATATTTACTTCTCAAGATGTTCAATTTTGAGGACAGCTTCATTATTGTGACCTGTCTGTTATAAGCGAACATTTTTTAAAAATTGAATATTTCAAGAAGGAAACATCCATTTTAGTTGAAAATTTTGATGCATGTTGGAAATAATATTCGAGCTGTTAATGAACAGAATATCAGATTGAAATATCTTCATTTGACTTTGCTCTGGATACCATGCTGTAGGTTAAAAATTCAATAAAACGACTATAATTTTGTGCTAGGAGATCATAAGTACGAACACTTCCCGGGTTTTCTTAGTCTCACTAAGATCTACCTATAGCCAAAGTATGAAGTTAAAAACTCAGAATCAGTTAGGGTAGTTTCCTCATCAGTAGAATCATAGACTTTTGTCGGATTATTTTTGTTCTCAGTAACTGAAAACAACGACTATGTAGGAACGAATAGTGAAATAACCAATAAATATAACATATTAGAATCTAACATCAATATGGCAATCATTATCCATAATATGGTTTATTAGAAAAAAAAAAGATCTAAAATATAACTCAATTTTGTCTAACCTTACTTAGACTATAAGTATATTTTCACAAAAAAAGAAAATCATGCAAAAATAAAATTAGATTACTTTAAGACATCGTTGTCGAAAAAGTGAATAATAAATAACAAATAAACCATGAATAGATTATCACAACGATGAAAAAAAACTACATCTAATTTAATCATTTTTTCCTTAATTGTTGTTGAGCAAGACGTTCATATTCAGCTTGAGTTAATTCAATATCGAGTTTAACAATTGTATTTATTAAACTATCACATTCACTATGTAAAACACATATTTCTGTTTTCCAAGTATTTAATTCAGAATGAAGTCGTTCATTTTCAAGACGAAATATTTCTAATTGTTGTAATTTTTTATTTATAACATCATTCGAATTTGATTGTGATAATGATGAAATGATTTTTTTTTTATTATCTAAATTAAGAATTTCAAGTTTAATGATAAATTTTCGAGAAAAATAAATTTTCATAAGACAATTTAACAAGATATTGTTAAGAAATCATATTATGGATTTTTTTTTGTAAAACTAAATAACTTTTTCGAATAGCACGATAAAGCTTTTGTGAGTACATTTCAAAAGTTTTACAGAGCTCAATTATGAAATCGAAAAAGTAGATTTTCGAGTTCAATTTTCTTGTTCGAGATAAGCTTGATTATCATGGTTTAGTTATGTTTCTATAAAATTCAGATCTTTTCCTTAAATAAACCTTCTCCAATTGAAAAAGTCAAAATGAATCTAATTACGTTCACCGTCTTCACTGTTGCATCCCTAATTTAATCAAAGTTCACGAGAGTGATGAAAAAATTTCTTTGGTGAATTCGAATAGTAAACAAAACTATTCCAGAGTTCACTATAAAACACAGACCTAACAAATTTTCAAATATATCGATTATCTATTTAATGAATAATCTTCAAAAAAGATTGCTTGTTTCTTACCATTATCATTTGTCTTTCGAACAGTCACTTTGCCATCAATTTGTCGAAAAATATGCACACATTCGATAATCATTTCGATTGGTGGTTTTATGTCAACAACAGTTTGTGCTGGTGAAAATTTACGAAGGAGCTTAAAGAAAAAGAAAAGCTAATAACTAACGAGGAAAGTCCTACAACTGATAAATTGCTTTTGAGTCGAGACTATGCGCATTATGTAGATCCTAATGATCTATGAATATTATGAAAATATTTCATATTCTTAGTTTATTACTACAGAGATACTGTACTTCTACACTTTTTTTAAAAATG